CAAGGTCGGACGACATCGCCGGCGAATCTGCGAGCACCTTGGCCGCCGCCTGACCTGCTCACTCTCCCTCTTCTATTCCCTTCCCTTCCCTTCTGATGACGAGAGGGCGAGGCTGCGGGCTGCTACGCCGCCTTGGCCTGCTACTGCTGCTCCCCGCCGCCGCCGCCGTCATGCTCCTCGTCCTCCCTCCTCTGCTGCTCGTCGTCGTTGGGGGGGCGCTCTGCTGCGGCGGATCTGGCCGCCGACGGCGCCGTTCGAGGCGGCAGCGGCGATGTGGGTGGGAGGAGAGGAGGCGCGCGGGAGGGGAGGTGAGGGGAGAGGAGGCGCGCGGGAGGGGAGCGAAGGCGGCGGCGAGGCGGGAGGAGCTGGGCGCGGGGCGAAGGCGCGAGCGAGGGAGGAGGGAGGCGGCTGCAGGAGCGAGCGAGGGAGGAGCGGCTAGGTCTCCAGCGCCCGCTTTTATACCCCCACCACGCGAAATGACCGAAATGCCCTGGTGGGGCATGGTATTTACATTTTGTTGCCATTACTATTCATTCCAGCAGTGATTCTTCCGGATCCGACGGCCCAGATCCTCCCACCTCTCGATCCAACGGCCCAAAACCCATCAAACATCGCGATCCGACGGTCCACGATCGCTGAACTCTGTGGAGAACATCCTTCTCTTATCTCTTGATGTCCAAGAATCTCCAATAGCAGCCTTGTTTTTGGAAAAAAAAGGTGTTATAAAAAATTTGGGCACGAAAACACGTTTTTTTTGGCACAACAAGGCGATGTCTCCAACAGCTGCCCTAAAATAGGGCACAACTACTCCAATAGCTACCCCAAAATAGGGCACCACACCACACATTTGTTCTCCACAATTGCATATGTATTAAACAAAAAATGAACTTTGAAGAGAATTTAACTTTGCAAGATCACCGCACACATAATAAAAAATATATTGAATTGAACTACAAATCCATCCATCAATTCTTTTTGCCGTTCTCTTTTATTACACATCTACTTGAAGGAGTATATATGAAACATGACATTCATAATTAGGTTGAATCAAGGTATTTGTGGCATGCATAATTACATGATTCGACAAAATAGAACCAAATGAGTATGTTCAGTTACTAAATCAAACAACAGCAAGGAAATCCTTGTCCAACAGATGATGGAACTTGATTTTAGAAAGCATGTGCAGCTTGGTCAACTTGAAAATTACTATTTTCTTGTCAGGTAAACTTACAAAACACCAAATTTGTAAGAACAAAGAACCAACTGGACGTGCAAAAACTCTGTACATTCGCTAGCCGGAATGTGCCAAAACTCTGACCACAATACTTTGTACTGAACTGAACACTAGCTAGCCTGAACTCTGAAGGTGCATCGGTTTAGTACTGAACTGAAAATGCATAGAAGGCAGCGGAGGTGCATGTCCGGAAGGGAATCCGAGGACATCTACGGACTGAACTCAAACAGCATAGAAGGCAGCGGAGGTGCATGCCCGGTTAGAGCCGCCAGATTTTTGATGCAGCAGCCGCAGTGCTGTATATTTGCAACACTTAGAGCTGTATATTTGCAGCCGCTAAATGACATACGTATTAAAACTCTGGTGCCAACAAAGCCATGATGAGTACTACAGTGCTACAGGGAGATCAGACCACCGACTGAAAACTGGTGCAAAATGCAGCGCAAGACCAGCTCAATCGGCTCCACGCAACAGAGGACACAGGCACACGATGCATGAAGACAGTATGATTAGCACTCCAGTAGTCCCCGGCGCTTTCGTTGACCGCCATGGCCCAGCCTAACAAGCCACGAGACAAAACCCTTGCACAAATCGACGTTACTACTTACTACTACAAAGCAGCAGAATTACGTACAGGGAGCGACCGAGCGAGCGATTAATCAGTGCGATTACTACATCATCAGCCATGCGATGCGGGTCTCAGAGCAAGAGGCAGGAGCAGAGCAGCGCGGAGGCCGACGGCCAGAGGGCGCCGCCCCTCGCGATGGCTCTGCCGGGGGAAGCGCCGGAGCCGTCGCCGCCACCGCAGACGCCCACGCCGACCTCCTTCGTGGCGGCCCGGTCGTCCACGCACAGCCCCGGGTTGCCGCTCAGGTCGAGGTTCCGGCCGAGACGCCGGAGGAACGCGCCGTCGAACGGCACGGCGCCGTCCAGCCCGTTCTTGCTCAGGTTCAGGTGGTACATGCGCTTCAGCCGGCTCAGCCCCGCCGGGATCCGCCCGGTGAGGTTGTTGTTCTGCAGCGACAGCGTCGTCAGGCTCGTCAGCCGCCCAAACGTCTCCGGGATGGACCCCGAGTAGCCGGAGTTGGCCAGCCGCAGCTCCTGCAGCCGCGCGATGCCGCCCAGCTCGGGCGGCAGAGGCACGCCCATCGGGTTGTTCTCCATGATCAGGTACTGGAGGTCCCGGAGGCCGGCGAGGCCCGCGGGCAGGCGGCCGCTCAAGCCGTTGTTGCTCAGCGCCAGGAAGGTGAGGGAGCTGAGACCGGAGAAGGTGGCCGGGACGCTGCCCGTGAGGTTGTTGGAGCTCAGGTCCAGCTTCTGCAGCTGCGCGAGCCGGCCGAGCTTGCTCGGGATGGGGCCCGAGAAGGAGTTGTAGCTGAGGTCGAGGCCCTGGAGGCTCCGGAGCTCGCCGATCCGCGCCGGGATGGGGCCGGTGAGCGAGTTGTAGCTGAGGTCGAGGTGGACGAGGCCGGCGAGCTCGCCGATGCCCCGCGGGACCTCGCCGCGCACGAGCGGGTTCTGGGAGACGGTGAGCACCTGCAGCGACCGCAGGCTGGCGAGCTGCGGCGGCAGCGTGCCGGACAGCGAGGGGTTGGAGCGGATGCAGAGCTGCTGCAGGCGGGACGCGGAGAGGTTGGCCGCGGGCGGGAGGGCGAGCGCGGCGGTTTTGGCGGGGTTCTTGAAGCAGTCGACGAGGAAGAGCGACTGGAGGTGGGGCAGCGCGGAGAAGGCGTGGGTCGGGAACGCCGCGGCCTCCCTGCAGGCCGGGTTGGGCGGCACGCCGAAGTCGAGCCGGGTGACGCGCATCAGCCGCTTGTCGGCGGCGTCCGGCTTGCACTCGAGACCCGGCCAGGGCGCGGCGCAGGGGTCGGTGCCCGAGGAGGAGCGCCAGTCGCGGTCGGAGGAGACGGCCTCCATGACGCGCAGCAGCGCCTCCCGCTCGGCCGGGTCCATGGCGGCGCCGGCCACGGCGAGGAGGGAGCAGAGGAGGAGCGCGACGGCGGTGGCCGGCATCGTGCCGCGCGTCCGTGTGGGTGCTGGCTGGGTGGCTGGGTGGCTGCGTCTGCGGCCCGGGCCGGGGGGTGTCGCTTTTTGACGTCGTCTCGTCCGTCCGTCCATGGTTTATTGATTGGGCTATGGGAGTGAGTGAGGGCGGTGGGGGCGTCTGACTGACTGACTGACTGACCTGAGGTGACGGGACTGGGGCCTGGCTGCCCCTGCCCGTGCAGGCTACAGAAACAGGCAGGGGAAGAACAGCGTTCGTGCGTGCGTGCGGGCTTTGCCGGGGAAATCCACTGTTACCGCCAGCAACCTTTCTCTCCATTTGATTCGATCGGGGCCTCGCCGGCCGGCCGGCCGGCACCGGATGTGATCGATCGATCTGCTGAAAGAAACCATGGGAAATTCCAAGAAATGGCCCCGTCTTTCCTCGATTCACACGCGCGGAAATCGGACTGCTCCCCGTAATATTTATTCACACTGGCCGTGATGGTCTGTCTTTCGCTTGGGGCGTGTTTGGTCTCTCTTTCCTTGAGGCGTGTTTGATTGCCGTAGTCTACAGTGCACATGAAGAAAGACAGATTTGATAAGTATCAATCTGCCATCATAAGAAAGCATAGTAGAGCGTCCAGTGAGCCTTCTTTCTATCCTTTGCATCATTGGAGGAAGAAGACAATGATGACTTCAAAATGGCCATTAGCATGGATCTTTAATATGAATTTTCGGCGGCCGAGAAGAGAATCACAATTCGGCCATATACACATGAACCGGGATAGAGCAGAGGGCCATGCCAAGATTGTGAGAGATTATTTTGATATCAATCCAACTTATCTAGAAAAGTATTTCCGCTTGTGACTTCGGGTGCATACAAGTCTCTTTCTCACCATTGCAAAGCCGTGGAGAAGCATGCTGATTTGCTCAAACTCAGGAGGAGTGCATCGGAGAGATATGTGTGAGCCCTTTGATAAAGTGTATCACGACTGTTCGAGTGCTAGCATATGGGTGTTCGGCCAACGACGTTGGCGACTATGTCCGCGTTAGAGAAGATACAATCTTGATGGCTGTTCAAATGCACCCAACGCCGTGATTGAGATCTTTGGGCCAGAGTACCTGATAGCACCATGTGATGAAGACACCGGGCTTTAAGCCCGGAACGAGGATGACATAGGATGCTTGGATCAATTGACTGCATGCACTAGACATGAAAGAATTTTCCTACAAGATGAAAAGGTTAATACAATGGCCACTGCAACAATCCAACAATCATTTCTTGATGTTGTTGCATCGGACGATCTATGGATTTCACATTCGTTCTTTGGATTGTTTAGCTCTCATGCATTGGCGGAGCTATAGGCATAGCTCTGGGCGAGCCAGAGGAGGCTAGATCAAGAAAATCCTCTGAAATTTCGTACTCTGCCACAAAATTTGCTCTACTCTTCACTGAATTTTCGTTGGGCTGGGCGGGCCATAGCCTGGTTTGGCCCAGCCGTAGCTACGTCACTACTTTCATAATGACCTGAATGTGCTGTCGAGATCACCACTATTCGCTAGGCTTGGCATAGATGCTCCTCTTGCAACTATGTTGTCAATGGTCACGAGTACACGAATGGTTACTACCTTGCAAATAGCATCTACCCTCCATGGACCATATTTGTCAAGACAATCCCACGTCCTAAAGGTAACAAGAGATTTCACTTTGCAATGCCTCAAGAGTCGACAAGTAAGGATGTGAAGACAACTTTTCGGTGTGCTTCAGAAGAGCTTTGGCATCAGTCGTGACCATGCTGAGTATTGGAACCCCAAGGTGCGATGGCAAATCATGACATGTTGTAGGGATTTCCATGCCGCATCATCTTGCGTAACATGATCATTGAAAATGAGAGAGGCATGCCTGAGAACTTTGGGTACATTTTTAACTAGGATCATGCTGAGCCAGAGAACGATGAAAGAATGATACAGAGATTCCTCGCAAGGCATCACAGCATTGGAAACTGAGAAGTTCATACCCAACTCGAAGATGATCTATTTGAGCATGAGTAGCATCTCCATAGCACTGTGTAGTTGTGATTTTATCACGCTCTTTAATTCATTTGAACCATTCATTGTGTTTGAATTTGAATAATTTGGTTTCTAAACTATGAATTTATAATATCTGTGATTTGTGTGAAACTTATTTTTTTAATATTTGGATTAATATGTAGTTGAAATGTAGTATGTAAACAAAAATTAGAAAGATTTGGCAAAACAAATTTACTCCGCTAACTTTGAGTGGGCCGTGTCGATTAGAAACGATACTTTTGTAAGAAGTAAGGGCTTCTTTGATTCAAAGGATTCTCAAAGGAATTGTGGAGGATTCTAATCCTTAGGAATTGTTCCTATCTTGGGCCTCCTTTGGTTTGTAGGAATTTCATAGGAATTCTAAAGGATAGGATTCTTATAGGATTTTTTCCTTTAGAGTCCTTTGGTTCATAGGAATAGATTTCTATTCCTACATAGGATTGGTTTCTATCCTCCACATTTCATAGGAAAATAAGGCCTCCTTTGGTTCATAGGATAGAAATTTTATAGGAATAGAAAAATCGTAGGAAGTGAGATGACATGCATCTCAATTCCTATAAAGGAAGAGATGTCATTTGATGCATAGGATAGAAATTTTTCCATTGAGTCTAGGCTAATGTTTTTTTTCCTCCAAAATGTGAAGGATTGAATCCTATCCTACATAGGAATAGGAATTCATTCCTATAAACCAAAGGGCGTCAAAGGAATTTTTTCTTTGCAAATCCTATCCTATAGAATTTCTATAAAATTCCTACAAATCAAAGGAGGCCTAAAAATGAGCCTAGACTCAATGGAAAAATTCCTAAGATGTCAACCAAATGCCATCTCGTTTTCTATTCCTACTAGTAGGATTTGAGATACACGTCATCTCATTTTCTACGAAATTCCTATTCCTACGATAATCCTATCCTATGAACCAAAAGAGGCCTTGGTTGTTTGATTCGTAGGATTATAAACCATAGGAAGTTTTTCATAGGATTCATTTGCACTAGATTTCATATGAAACATCCCATCCACTCAAACCTCTTTAAAAGAATCATGCGTTTTTGTATGTACAATCAAACACTCGTACAATTCTGTAGGATTCAAGACGATGAAAGACGACATTCCACTCTAAGGCTTCATTAAAGGATACTAGGTTGCCTAGTGATGTGAGCCGGGACACTGGACAGATGAGGTTCGCATGGCTTGTTAATTGCAGTCTTGCTGTCTCGGCTCTTGCCTGGCCACAGCAACACGAACTGTGGAAACCCAACCCTGCTGAGTGGTACAGCTACAGCATGCAGACTACAGAGATCGATCCCGAACAGTGGCCGGTTTAGTACGAGCTAATATAAGTCGACATCTATCGATCGCACGCACGTACGCATTGTTTGCTTGTGCATGCATGTGGGGATGGACCGACCATGTATGCAGTAGAGGGAGAAGCTAGTTTCGTAGCCATGCACATGCACGTGATCGATGTGCCTCTAGCCGCATGACTCTGAATTATTGAGGCGAGGGTTCCTTCTCTGTAGCCTGTGCTCTCTAGTCTGTAGACGTATCGACCGGCCGTCTCCACGCAACTGGAGCTCATCGACCCGTTGCTCATAGGGCTGGTCGACAGTATTCGTCGGTCGAGCAGTTGCAGTACGTGCCGCCGATCGATGAGTTTTTGTAGGATCACAGTACGGTGCATTGCATGCGGCTGAGCTGAGAGATCACCGCCCGATTGCCAGTGAGTGAGCGAAGCATCATATGATTGGTCATCTACTCATCTGGGAGCCACCTCCTGTCCTGGCTCTACGATGCGTACACACATACACATACGTATGCATGGAGGGTACGTGCGTGCACATGCAGTGTGGGATCGTACGTACAGGCGGGAGACAGGAGCATCTGGGGACACTGTAGCGAATTTTTGTTCGTTTTGGGCCGGAGTAAAGCATGCATTCAAACCGGAGGAGGGAGAAAAGGTGCCTGAGTTTTCCAAAGACAGATCGGCGCACATGTGGGTGTGGTGGATCACCCACTATCCGACGGACCAATCTCTACAGGGAAGACGCACAGTGCGGCGATCGATCGATCAGAGGCTCGTGCATTGAATCGCTCGTCCGATATACCCCCTCGACCCGGCCGTCGTACGCCGGACGCAGACGAAGCTAGACGAGGAGAGCTGAAGCTCGACCTGGAGCTCGTGTGTGTGCCGTGGAGGGGCAGGCAGGCATGCAGTGCAGACGCGGCGCCAGGGGGCCATCACCTCACCGGCCGGCCGTATCATGGGCATGCATGCATGGCGAGGCGAGGCGAGGTCCCAGGTGATGTGACAAAAGATACCTGACGGGCCCTCCGTGTTTGGCGAAAGTTGACCGGAAAAGCGGAGGCTGAGATGACCGATCGCGCCCTCACCTTCACGGCGTGCCGCTGCAGGCGCAGGCCGAGACGAGACGGACAGGCGCCATGTGCGGGCAGCGCGCACGTACCCGGACATGGAGCCATGGGCGTCGCGCGTCGCGGGCCGCGAATCATTCCGTCCATTCCTAGTTTTCTACGCCATGCCGGTCCGTCGACATTAACGCACGGTTTTGGAGCACGTAGGAGCAGCTGGGGGCCTGTGCACGTACCATTCCTGGCCGAGAGTAGCTGAGTTCCTGATGAAGCCAGGGATGGGGTAGGTATGCTGGTAAGTAATAGCCGATCTGAACTCAACTCCGGGAATGATTGTGCGTCGCGCTTCAGCGCTGAACCAGAGTTTCAGAGTCGGCCGGGCTTCAAGTAGAGTCATGGCGTGTCACATGAATGAGGTTCAGAGCTCGGCCATCCGACCTGTAAAAATCGATTCATCTCCAGCTTTTTTATGCACTGCTACGCTACTCTGACGAGTTGTCGATGGAATCCGGAGGGCTAGACCAGGCCCCTACCTCCAGCAGTCCAGAAAGAGGCCACGTATACATATCAATTTGATGGTAGGCCTTGTTTCAAGTTTGAAAGCGGAGGTGCACATCGCAGATCATGTAGCATATGATATCAGAACGAGGCAGGCATGCTGAAAGTGGGCAGGCCATGTTTATACACGGACGCGGTCGACTGTGCATTGGCTCATTCAGATCCCATCAGCTGCACGCGAGCCTCATTCAGGGCGTAAACAGTCTCGAGATCCCATCAGCTGCACGCGAGCCTCATTCAGGGCGTAAACAGTCTCGTGCCAGCAAAGAAGAAAGAAGTTTCACCGGAGTGGAACCCCGACGGCGGTCGGAGCAGGAACGGAAAGGAAAGGGAGGGTCGCAAGTCACGAGCTGCAGCGCTGTAGCAAAAGTAATGGTGCTACCAAGGGACATGTCTGAGGGCACATGATTATTCATTCAGTTGCAAAAAGCAATGGCTGGCGTTTGGCGCCGTAGAAAATGAAATAAGCTTTGGACGTATGATTTTCGCAGGAGTGTTTCGATCTTTCATTTCTAAAGCGACCATATATTTATATTTTTGTACAGAGCAAAAATGAACAAACAGGAGAACCTATAAGTAGCTATGAACCCATGCCTGAAAATGTGCATGGGCCTTCCCACTAGCTCTGTGTCTGTGGAGCTTAGCCTCGTTTCTGAATCTATGCCTACAACTGTACAAATTAGGCACTTTCCCTGTAAAGATAAAATCATTTCTTGTGTACCAAATCGCCCAAGTCATAAGAAACACCACCTCCAAGAAGAATGGTTTTGCTAGATTCTGCCCGTTGCACTTTCTACCTTCGTCTTGATCTCGACTTCTTTCTTGGACATGTATCATTATTTTTCATGTCCATCTTCTTTTGTGTCAACGTTATACTGATAGTTTCTCTTTTTACTAGTCTTGGGGGAGGAGAGAGCTTACAAGAACGAGAAAAAACTCATCCAGTTGGGAAAGAAGACCCCTATATATAGGCCAACCAAATCTGCCTCTTACCCAAACAAAAAATTGGTCACATCCTGTCAAGAGGTCCAAGCCAGATAGTCTGACCTAGAGACCGAGCGACCTACTGTTGCTTCAATTAATAAGACTAGTAGAATGCCCGTGCGTTGCCACGGGCATTTGAGTGCTTTTACCGGTTGCATATATGAACATATTGCATATCAAGTTTTACATGTAACAAAAAGATAGGTAGACAGAAAAATAATTGAAAATCCACTTCACATGCAATATTCTTGGAGACAAATGTAATTCGATGACGCATACATAGAAAGACAAAATGTAATTCGATGGCGATACATAGAAAGATGTCAGATGCACAAAATAAAGAAAGTGGTACAGAAAGATAAAACTCTTTATTGTGCACTATATTACAAAAGAAAGATAGCATTTCAATTGTTGTTATCCATTAATTAAAGACAACACATGGGAGGATTTTGTTATTACCTTTGAACAAACACTTTTGCTTCGATCCCCCCCCCCCTCCCAACACATTGAAGACTGAGATAGGATGGTCTTTTCACCCGTCTTTTCCAGCTTCTTTTTAAGTGAAAGAATAGTGCAGGTAACATGAATCAAACTCAAGACCACTTGTTCTAAGGAGGACCACACTAACCAACTAACACATCATAATGCTTGTCCATATTTACTTTTTTTTTCTTCTACTTCAGTTCGCGGCTGGGCCAGCCCATTGTTGAATCGATCATTTATCACTTTTTCGTTTATTTTTTATTTTTCAAAAAATTCTCACGCTTATAAAATTTTGTTCAAAATTTTTAAAAATCTTCGCTTTTTAAAATTTTGTTCATAATGTACAAATATTCACATTTTTAGAAAATTGTACATATATGTCAAAATAATTGTGTCTGCCAAAATTGCTCAGAATGTCATAACACGAACATATTTTAAAAAGAGCGAACAAAATTTTGAAGACAATCATTTTTTGAAAAACACTCCGAAATTTGAAATGTCAAGCAAAAATCAGAAGATATGTACAAAAATTGAAACCAATTTATTTTGAATTTCTGCCAACATTTTTTGTATTTGTGTAGAAAAAAATTGAATACATGATTATTTTCTAAATTCCTAATAAAATTTGAAAGCACGAACATTATTTAAAAATGCAGAATTGTCGATATCACGAAAACTTGGCATGGTGCCTTGGAATGGTGATACAAGGCCCTAGAGTTTTTTTGGTCCATTTGAATGATGTCGAAAAAAGGTACTCTGAGACAGAACCTCCCGCCCAACCTGGACGCCCTACCCGAACTTTTTTCCATTTAAATTCATGAATATTTTCTTAAATTCGCAAACTTTGTTTTCAAACTTTTTTCCATATCCATGAAGTCTTTTCAACTTTTACACACGTTTTATAAAAGCTCGCAATTTTTTTTCAAATTCATAACATTTATAAAAGCACGTTGTGTCACATTTCAACTAGTGGTTTAGGATATTTTTTTTTGACCGGTCGACTGAGGAGTTGCAACTAGTGATCTGATTTGCTAGAACCGGCAAACGGTATTGCTAGAACTAGGGAGTGAGCCAATGATGATGGGGCGCGAGAATGTTGCAACCACGATGCTGAATTGCTGGAACCGGCAACGGCAGAAGCTAGCAACCCGCAGCGCCGTCGCATTTTTTGCTGCAACCGGCAAACTGAAATGGTACAACCGATGAGTTGTTTTGCTGCGGTGGTGACTGTGGGAATGGTGACCCAGTAGACGACGGCGGTGCATGTGGCAAGCGTCGACGACGAGGACGGCGGAGGGTGGTGCACCATGCTGCAACCATAGAGACGGCGAGCTGCAACAGCTGTCGGCCGAGGCTACGTGTCAGTGCCATCCACGGCTGGAGTTGCCGGAGCTGCAAGCAGCCATGGCCGAACCACCGCCCGGCGACAGCGGGGTGCTGCAGGGAGGGCAAACGGGCGAAGAAGATGGATAGCGAGGTGACGGGGAGGGGGCAGCGACGCGCGGGGATCCTGGAAGCTGGGCGGCGCTCTGTCCTCTCCTTTTTTTTTTCTTCCCGTGTGCGCGTCGGGGAAGATGAAGTAAGGGGCGAAAGGAATAAATCAGACGGTCAGCAGTTGGTTGATCTTTGCTAAAAAAAAAAGCAGTTGGTTGATCTGACGGATCGCGCGCGACCGGCCTGAAATATTCGGCCGGCCAGCCGGCGCCTAGCGCGGGCCTTCTTCATAGCAAAACATGTCACGTCCTAGCCAACGCATGCACATACGCGCGGGTGCTGATGACGCCGCGAGCACGGCATGGATGCACGTTGCGTGCCCCAGAGGGAGAAGCGCGTGTGTGATCCCGGCGCCGCGTCCGGAGCCCGCGGCGGGACGGCGCCAACGGGATCCACACCTCTCCCCCACCGCCTTCATACCACCAGACGTGTGGACTCCGTCGAGCGAGCGCCCGGCCGCCGTCGCGATCGACCAGACGCGGTGGGACGGAATGCCATCCGTTTACCCCGCTGATATATAGCGCCGCGTCTCGAGCACTGCTCCATCGCAGCTCTGGGCACGCCTCCTCCTGGCTCTCGCCAGTGCCAGCCGCCACCCCGTCCGATCCTACTGTGGTGGCGGTTAATCAATGGAAGAGCTCGACGAGTTCGAGGTGCTCTGGCCGGAGTACTACGTGGGCCACGCTCACGCCGACGATGACCAGTACAAGACGCCGGCGCCGGCGTCGGCGAGCGTGCAGAGCCCGGCCACGTCGTGGCAGCGGCGCGCGGCACGGTCTCGGCCGGTGGACGTTCCTCCCACTCCCAGCAGGGCCGCCGTGCTGTTGCTACGGTGGAAAGACGGCACTGATCGTCAAGACGACTTGGCGGAGAAGGACGGCGGCGGCAAGATCGTCGTGCCGCCGCACCTGCTGGTCTCCGGCAGGCGGCTCTCCGACGGGGAGGCCGCCGCGGCGTACACGCTGCTGCGGTCGGGGGCGGCAAGGCACGGCAAGCGGGCGCGCGACCTGCGCCACCTGCGCAACTCCGTGCTGCGGATGACCGGCTTTATCGAAGGATGACACGTCCTATGTTTGGGGCTACCACTTCAATTTGTAGATCAGAAATGGTCAAATGGATTTGAACCGGTCTGTACGTGGCATCAATCTAATCTATCTATCTAGTAATTTAGTACGCGTAAGCACGTGCATAAATTCCTCGAAAATAATCTTATGCGTGCGTTCAATGAATATGTTATGAAAGTGCAAAAGAAAAAAAAACTTGCTGCTATCGATGGGATTTGCACCAAGTTCCGAACCAAGGTATACTACTTATCTTATGGTGCACCGCACTCCAACTCAACCCCTTCCTTCGCAGCCACAGCCACAGCTAGCAAAGTTTGTCCTAACGCGCCACTACTCCTCCGATCCAGTTGCCAACTCCCCAAGGAAGTCTGCTTGCTCACCAAGACACGCCAGCTTCTCCCTCTCCTTCCCCTTCCTTCCACAGCACACCTACCTCCGCTCGCTATATATCACCCTCGCCATGGCAGCCCTAGCCCTTGCCTTCCCGGACACACGGCCGGGGAGGCCATGGATCAGGAGCTCCAAGAAGCCGACGTCCTCTGGCCTCAGCACAACTCCGACCACCGCCGCGACGGCGACGACGGCAGCAACGTCGACGGGGACATAACAAAGCTATCCTCGCCGGAGCTGTCTGCCCCGGTCCCCGTGCCTCACCGGAAGCGGCGGTCTCGCTCCTGGTCGACGTCCGACGGGAGCGGCAGTGGCAACGACGACTGCAGCGACGGCGACGTCCGATGCACCAACGACGCAAAGAGGAACGTGCCGCCGCACGTCCTGGCCGAGCGGCGGCGGAGGCTCGCCGGGAGGTCGACGGCGGCCTACTCCATGTGCAGCGGGAAAGGGAGGACGCTCAAAGGGCGGGACCTCCGCAACATCAGGAACCTCGTCCTCAGGTTGACCGGATTCATCGAGAAATGAAATGGATTCAGCACCGTGGATGTGGATATATTGCTGCATTGCTTGGGAACGTCCATGTCCATGGACGTGTGTGAAAGTTTGTGGCAACCTAATTAGAGTTTTCAGTGAGCGCAGAGGTGAAGAAAGACAAGAAATGTAGCAATAACTCTCTGTTTAATTAATTAATTTTATCTGTTTAATTGAATTTAGCATGTGTAGCGTGCGAGCAGCTTGCTCAAGAATAAATGTACATTCATAAGAAACAGAGCAAAAGGGGTGGAGGATTAAAATGTTAACTGGAGCCGAATAATAGAGCTACTACTAGCTATGTAAAAGCATTTTATTAGCTTGTGATCCTTATGTAAGCCAATTGTATGTAAGCGGCCGGTGTTTACTCGTTGCTAAATACAGTATATTGAGAAGGTACTAAGTAGTGCAAAAAAAGAAGAAGAGGTAATGGCATTCTTCTGTAACATGGTTGCCACTTTTGCATCTCTTTTTGCCACAACTCCCATTTGGTTTCGTCCTCTTGAAAATTAAGGAAGAAGGTGAACATTCGTCAAGAGGAGTCTTGTTGCAGCATGGGGTGTGGGGAGCAATGCTACACCTACGTAATGTTTGTTACGTATCTTACGTATGAGCTGATTTGGCATATTTTTATTGGCCATTAGTTGGGGACACGAGTCTACCCTTGAAATCAGGGGGGCAGTTTGATTGGTGGGGAAAGAGATTACGCAGGTTTCGTAGAAGTTGTACGTAGGTGTATCATTTTTGGGTGCGGGGGGTTAGGGTCGGCGAACTAGTTAGCGCTACAAGTATGGCTGATATGTACCTTCATCGGATAGATCATATCGTGCATGACACGCATGGATTTACAGGTCGAGCCATACAATTAGAGAATTTGTAGTAAAATGAAAATTGGTCCTTTTTAATTCCTTGCATTTTCTTTATTATTCTTTGAGAACTAGACCTTCCAAAAAAATGTAACCAACCAAACTTCTATTGCAATTATCTTACTTCCACAAATATGACAATCATGCTAAGGCCCCATAGGACCGATACAGCAGAACAGCTACCGCCGCCGATGAAGAGAAGTTTAGATCGGAAGAATCCGACTTGCAGACGCATGGACGCACACGAAGAAAGACCGGATGCAAGCGGATCCAACTTCGACAAACGCTGATCAGATCCCACTAGATCCGCTGAAGACGCGCCTCCACACGCGCTCCGACGACGTTAGAAGCACCATCGGGATAGGAATAGACAGGGAGAACCTTATTTCATCTTCAGAAAGTCGCCACCATTTCGTCTTCATGAGCATGATAAAAACCCTAACGAGGCTCGAAAAAACAAAACGGAGCCCTCTCGCCGGCAAGGGCCTAAATCCACCGTGTCTTCATGGTCCGAAGACCATAGGAGGTCTTCGCCTCGCAGAAAACGATTCACAAAAAAGTGCAACTTGACAACACAACACCAGACGTCTTCAAACACTGGAATGCTCGTCGACCAAGGTTGATCCGGATGCAAAACCTAGAGGTGGTAGAAGGCTAACCGCAGGAAGAAGGGTTCATCGTTTGCTTCAAGCCAAGACATGCTTTCGAGCCACCACGTGTTGGACGTGAAACGTTTGGGATGAAGAACCAGCAAGTATACTGTTGAAATATTATTGTCTGCCTCTCTCCATGGAAGCATTCCACCATGAAAAGAAGCAAAGCACAAAACCAGTTGTCGACGAAGCGGAAGTGAGAATGTCGAGTGGTCTGCAGGTTCACCTTTTTTGTTTCCGTTGTTGCTCTTCCGAAAACGAGTTTGGACTTCTGAAACAACTAATTGAAGCATGGATTCTAGTAACAAAAGAAAAACTGAAGACTGGATTCAGTGTATATATAATCCGGCACACATGACAATATAATGTTTTTTTTATATAATTATGTAAAAAAGATCTGCAGCAACGCAGCCAATTATGCCGTACTATGACCATTTTAGGGAGAGGCCATGTTTTCTGAAGGAGAGGAAAGTTTGCCCGCGAGAGATTTCTTAGCGTAGAGTGATGCAGTTTCTCTCCAGCAATTCCGTGTCTTTGTGTGCCTAATAATTGAGGGGGGCAGTCTTTGGGCAATAATTTAGGGGACCCTGGCCTTGAGCTAGTGCGGCAGCTTGCGTGTACGAGAGAGCACTCGATATGCACTGTAGATTATTCGTTCAAGGAATATCATGTTACCAGATCGGGACGGAAGCGCGTCAGGTCTTGATCGCCACCGTGGCGGACGCAGCTCCATCAGCCTGGCAGAAAATATAACCCAATCAAACAAGGAGAAACGAAAAGCTGCAGAAAAAAAAACAAGGAGGAACAAAAAGCTTTGAAAAACAAGGAGATACGAAAGCATGAGAATCAAATCAAAACAAAAATCCAGGTCGAAAACAAGCAAGGGAAGCAGGCAAACGAAAACCAAAGAAATCAAATCAAAAAAGAGTTCAAAAAGGAAAATATTCAAATTTTGAGTTCGGGATCAGATGGTGAATCACGGGGATGCCCCAGTGTCGTAACAGGCTTATTGGGGCGGGCACCCCTCTCGCATGATTAAGCGAGCCTGTACCACTCCTCATTTCCCTTTGCTGCCTGAAGGATCATGCTCTTCCACGGCGCACCCCGTCCCCTCTTTAAGCGCCTCGCCTCCACTCGCTCGCCCCCTGCGGCCGAGGTGGGACTAATAATCTTTCCAACCCCGCTGAACCCTCTCCTGGCCGGGTGCTGGGCGGTTTTTCAGGATGCCGCGGGCCGTCAAGGCCTGTAGAACAAGTCGGCCGGTACTCCCGAATCACAGGGTGGCCCATTGCGCTTTAGTCCTCGCGTAGCAGAAGTAGATTATGATTAGAACCTTTTTATCAAAACTGCAACCAACGGGGATGTAGCTCAAATGGTAGAGCGCCCGCTTTGCATGCGGGAGGCACGGGGTTCGATCCCCCGCATCTCCAAATTTATTTTCGTCGCTGGTCTTTTTCTCTATAAATTTTCTCCTCTTGCCTTGTTGTTATCGTTCTCTTCCTCCTTGAGAGGTTTTTAGTTTTTACCATTCGGGTTTCACCTATCTATTTGTCATTTTTACCATGCCACTGTCAAGCTTCTCTTTTCCTATCTTTTCATGCCACAATTAAGTTTTGTTCCATCTATCATGTCATACCTTTTTATGCCACCATTAAGTTTCCTTTTCTCCTTGGTGAAAAAAAAAACTCCTTTTCCGAGTTTTTGTTGTCAATGTTGGTGTCCTTGTTTTCTTCCTCTTTGAGAGCAGATGTTTCCATGGTTTGTGGATCCAAGCCTCCAACTTCTTTCCTTTTTTTCTGTTGCTATGGCAACTGATATTCTTTCTCTTCATCATGACATCCTGCATATACATAGGAATTGTAGAAAAGAAATCAATCCACGTATATAGAATACTACTGATAGCCTAGACAAACTAACGTCCAAACAACTATGCAAAAAAAACTAACATCCAAACATGTCACTCCATGACGCTCAACTTTGACTAGATTGACCCAATTGAAAAGAGTTTTCTCCTTCTCCAACCACCTATGTCTATTTTGTCATATCTTTTTATGCTACCATTAAAAAATCATATCATTTTCTCATATCTTATAATGTCACCCTTAAGTCTCCTTTTCCATACCATTTCATGTCGCCCTAGAGTCTCTCTTTTCCATGTTTGCTTTTTCGTATATACTCATGTCACCATTAAGTCTTGTTATTCCGAGTTCATTGTTGGCTCCTTTTTTCTCTCTCGTTCTCTTACTCTTTGAGGGTAGATGTTCTCACCATCAGGTTGATTCCTATATGTTTTGTCATGTATTTTCATGGCAAATGTGATGTTTATCGTATTCATGCCATCATTAAGTTTATCTTTCCCTTCTATTGTGTCATATATTTTTGCCACCATTATGTAATTCATAAATGACACTCGGATGTTCAATAAAATTATAAAGTTGGCTCCAGGTTCATTGATGCAACTTTTGTACTTCCTCAATTTTTGAAATTGTAACATCACTCGGAAGGGAAAATGTAATGCATATTTCAAAAAATTGCCTCCAAGTTCATTGATGCA